ACAATCCACGTACATTAGAGTAATGGTCGATAAATGATTGTATTAGTATTACAAAAGTAACTATTGAATGTTTAATGAATTGAAAGAAGTAATGGATATTGAAATCGTCATAATATACTTGTATATAGAATTTTTTACTTATGATTATTTTGCCTCACTAAGAATTTTCTTAGCTTGTGTTAATTTCACGCGTAGGTTTTACTTCCAGTGGAGTAAGGAGATTTTTGGACATCGAAGCAAGGATCACCTCTTCACTAACAATATGATACATGTCTATTTTTTATGTATTTAGTTGGCATGCAACATATTTAGTAAAAATGCTCTGAAGAACATTTTGCATGGTACTTTTTATTATGTAATTACGTTAATGTATATTTTGTACTAATTTAATTAGAATGTTTTATAAAAAGAAATAATTTTTTTGGGTTTTCAAAGGAATAACTATTTTAAAACTAATGTGACATCTATATCCCGTGTACGGGAAGGTATACGGGAGATGGGTGTTACATAACTCCTCAAGTGATTTTTTTTTATTGAAACACATGCTTAAATGTTTTCAATAAAAAAAACATTTGCCTGAATAGTAGTCATCCTAGCTAAACATCTAACATTTTTTCCTGAATATATTAAAATCGACTTTCATATGGCATATATATATATAGGCCTTAAGAAGTTGTCCTATAAAATGAGTCTACCCAAATTATTGTGTCTTGTTTGTCCTTATTCTTATTCAAAAAAAGATATTACATCAAACCACATAATAACAAACCAAAATAAGAGGTAAAACCCGATTAAGAGGAAAAACCTTACTTCATATAAATACATAATAAAAAAGATGCAAATACATCATAGTAAAACCACAATAAATAAAAATATTGCTCTAAAAGACTCAAATTCATCGATGTATCATGGAATATATTCTACATGGTGGTGGTGGTCTACTTCTAGGAGGGTTTCTTCTTATATGTTGCTTCTCCTCGTCCCTATTATTGTCATAATCATCATCTTTATCCTAATCCAAATCCTCCTCTTTTTCATTATCATCATCACTCTAAATAACATTGTCTCGATAAGGGCAGAATGTTGATATATGACCTCTGTAGAATAAGGACCCTGGAGGTGTATAACTGACAATCCCACTACTCGATGAGAAATACAAAAATTATGAAAAATCAGACATCGATATCCATGAAGCATATTGCAGTTGAGGTGTTTGTGGTGGAGGACCACCTGCAGCATAATTTGTATAGGAACTAAATGCTAGATCCATAAGCATAATCGAAAATATCCGCCGATGGGTGTCATAAAACCTTTCGGGCTCTGTACGTAACCAAATAGTGGTGGCATTTAAATCGACAAATATGGCATATGCACTTGCGAATGTGGCATCTGAACCAATTGTGTTGTCATCTGAAACGGTGGTGTCCCCATGTGAATTTGAGGACTACAGATGTAAACCGACGTCGCTGGTTGATGGTGTTATATTTCTGGTAGCATAGCTAAGGATGACCGGAAGCACATGTTCTTCGTCCAGTAGTGGGGGAACGATGATGTTGTAACGTCAGACAATTTTATCGAGAAATATGAATTGCCCCTTATGCTTCCACTGAAAGTAAGAATGGCTTCCCGTTTACGTTAAACCATTCAATATAACCATCTAAAACCATCAAACCAGTTTCTGTTATATACTGTCAATGAAGCAAGCGTTGATGTCAGTTCTCCCACGTCGCCAACCAGTCTCTATGCTTCACCAACAAATTTACCTATTTCTTTCCCCGTTTATCGACGTTACAGATATTATCAAGGTTCATTGGTGCTTCTGGAATAAATAATGTAAACCCAAACTGACGAAACACACGATTAGGCGAATGCCACTCAACAATAGAGTAACAAATAAGGGGCACAACCGCCACCATACATCAAATATCCCACTAAGGTTAGGTGGGATGCAAACCCTCAAATCGTTGTCCAAATATGGCAACCATTTGAACTAAACAAAAATATAGATTTCTTATCAAAATTAAAATGAGATTCAAATTATATAAATACAACTAAATAAAAAATATTTTTTTAAAAAGTACCTATATACCTCTATACCTTGAAAGTAACGGAATGACATATGACTCATTCACGATCGGGTACAAAAAAGACATGTGGTACCATGCCCATGGTTGGAGAAGCATGAGACAACCACCAATATCAATCTTCTTATAAATTGTAGCCCGACCAATTTCTCTAAACAAAAATGCTAACACTAACACTACAGACCCCAACTCAATGTGTCGAATACTTCAAAATCGATCAGGTGCCTCAACCACATATAATGAAATTGGTTCCGAGATTTGTCAAGCACCAATATACCTCAATTGAGTTGCAGTATTTATGCCTGGGCAAATGATTTTGCCTTATCCTCCAAATAATTTTCGCGCAACTATTTAAATTCACTTTTCAACTACCCTAATGTTATTCGACCACCATTGAAACTGGGCGGACAACTTCCAAGATACTCCCTGCATAAACCCCCAATCATAATATGTCATACCATAAATGACAGGTCTATCGACCAGGAGACCCAGTTGCATTGAAATATCCTTTAGCGTAATGATACACTTCTCACATGGTAGATGAAACGTGTGTGTCTCTGGCCTCCATCTATCAATTAGTGTAGAAATCAGGATGGGTTCAAGTTTACAACCTCCTTCAATTTTTGCTAACCAACCGAATCCAACCATAGACAAATATGACCAGATACGCCTAAGTGTTTCCATCTTCTTGTTGCGAATAAAAACTTCTAATATACGATTATTTTCCTAACAAATAAATTCTAACCATTAAAAATTGAACTACTATTTCAAAATTATTTAAATAATTTCAAATAATATATTCTAATAATTTAAATATATAATCGATTTCATAATATTCATAAATTTAAAAATAATATAATTTTGTATTTTTACTATATCGACAAAATTACTCGAAATATGATCAGCATCCAATCGCAACAACACACCTTTAATTTTTTAACTGTATTTAATAAATATTAACTAAATAAGTTTACAATTAAATAATCAAATACTAAATACTAAAATAAAATATAATAATAAAATAATTAATTATTTAAATAATAACAATTTTAATGAATAAAATAATAAACTATAAAAACAATTATACTTTACTAGATTGAAAATCGATAGAATGGAAAGATATTTAGGTGTGATTTATGTGAGTTAGGGAAGGGGTTTAGATAAACATTCGGTTGGGGAAATAAGCGGGAGAATTTGGCTGGAAATCGGGGTGGGAGGGGGATAGCTGGAAATTAGGGTTGGAGTGGGAAGACGCACCCCATAGTATGCACCTTCAAGGGTTGTCATAAAACCCCGGTAAGGCGCATCCATGGGGATGCACCTTCTAGGGGTATCGACGATTTTATCGGGTGTCAACGGTTTTCAGCTAAGGCGTTTCCTACCAATCGTGCCTTTTTCTCTCAGGTGTTAGATCGAAAAATATTTTCGAAACGGTGACTGATAGATAATATTTTTATTTATATAGTGATTTTTTGTCAAATTACCATACTTCATAACCACATTTTAACACAAAACAACACAATAAAGTTATATATATATATATATATATATATATATATATTATATATATATATATATATATCACTAAATAAAAATAAAATATAAAAGCCATACACAGACTTAAAATTACATTACCAATAATATATTATATATATCTAAGCATGCCAATAAATGATGACACAAATAATTGAGAATCAAGGATTTGATCTTTTAAGGTCAAGTTCGAATCATATCATCATCACACTTGGTGAACAATATATAAATTCATATGTAATTGGTTCATAAGTATGCCTTGATCCTTTACTGTAATATATATATATATATATATATATATATATATATATAAACATCAAAATTTAGAAATAAAACCAACAACTTCGAGACAAAAGTAAAACAAAACTAAAAGATTGACGAGAACCCTAATAATAACCCTCCTGCAAAAAGCAAACCGAATTAACAATTACCTCCAAGGTAGTTTTTGCACAAATTTGGAAACATGGGCGTGCCGTGCTCTCCTCATGCAGAACTAATCAGTGGCTCTGGAATTTGCCTCGAATGTTGGGGTTTTGATCGCCATGCCAATGATTTCGCCGTTCGCGTGCTCAATTCCAACCTTAATATAACCCACAAGATGCTGCTCGGTTTATCAATCATAACCAAAGATTTTCTTCCCTTGCTTTAATGTTTCTGCATGAAATTTGTACTGTGTATATTCATCTCTCTGAAAATCACGTTGAGGGGTTTTCAGACAATCAATCTCCTCTTACAATTTTTGTCACTTCTGTTTAGAATTTCATGAAGCTTAAGAATAATAACTAATGTAATATTGGTCTAAATAATGAAGCTTGAATCTTTCGAGAATCTTTCTGTTCATGTATAATTATAATTGAATTTAAAAAAAATGTGATTAATCATTTATCTAGTTACGAGAGAGCAACGGAATCAATCATTTATATAGTATAAATTCAGTTTCACCAACAGCATAGTTCCATATACAAAATGTAATTTCGTTAATAAATTACATTTTATTTAATTATTTAGTATAAAAAATTGATTATTTTAGATTTACATATGTCCTAGGGGTATATTGTAAGAAAATATAAATCTTTCTATGAGTTGAATCAAAAACCAGAAATGAATCTTTTCCGGAAAAGAAAATATGATATAGCCAGGAAAAAAGGAAAAGAGAAAGGCATATCGATTGTTGTGATCTCAGCGTATTGGAAGCAAACTTATCAGATATGGATAAGTCACCATCATCTAAGCAGAAGAAAACGCAGATTAATTAATCGCAATAAAGCATGATCTTACAGGCATGAAATGCAAATCTTGGCTGACGCTAATCACCAGTCCTTTTCTAAGCTTACTCCTAATGGCAACATAATTTGAGGAAAAAGAACACGTTAATGGGATAATTCCTATGTCCACATGCAGTCAAACACAGATGAACCAATGGATATCTTAGCACCAGAGGCATTGTTACCCTCCTCGGATACAGCGCCGAAGTTCGGTGGGGAGTCGCCGTGAAGCGGCGATGCAGCAGCCAATGCTGGCTGAGACAAAAAGAAAGGGAACTGTAGATTCTCTTGCAGGGACCTCAGGCTTTGAAATCCTGAAACACCGGCGGTATGTGAGTACCTCGAGATTGAATCGAAACCGTTGTTGACCATTTGTGGTGGAGGTGGCAATGCGAGGTCGAAACCGGGGTGGAAAAAAGGGGTGGCGGCAGCTGAGGAGACTGCAGCAGCAAGGGTGGAGAAACAGGACACGTGCTCAGATTGTGTATGGCTGTCGTAGGAGCAGCTGTCACGGTCGGCGCGGGAAATGGTGGCGGTATCAAGGAGAGGAGGAAGGGAGATTGAGGACGGAGAACTTGGTTCTTGGTAGAACGAAACGGCGGCGTTGATGCGACTCCTCGCTCCACCGCCATGGCTGCTGCTGGAACCGTTACCGGCGCCACTCTTCTGAAAAACCCTAGAAATAACCCATTCATCCTGCAAAGAAAAAATCTTTGAGCTTCAACAAAACAGCTTACCAGACAAAAAGAAGCAATGAAGAGACATACCTTCGAGCTTGTGGAGAGATAATGATAAGCAAATTTGCCTTCAAGCCTATACTCATGCATGACCCAATTACTCTTTTCACCTTTAGGGGCCCTTCCCCTATAAAAAACCAGGGTTTTCTTCATTCCAACAAGGGCACACGTCTTGGAGCTATAAATCTCCCTATCTTTCCCAGTAGCCTTCCAATAACCAGCCCCAGTTGCTCGGTTTGTCCTCAACCCCGTTGGGTACTTCCTATCTCTTAAACTGAAGAAATACCACTCTTTCTCTCCCATCGTTGCTTTCTCTGCAAAATTCCATAACCAAACCAAAAAAGAGCTGTAATCAGATTTTTATTACATCAACGAATAAAGTGTTAAACGCAATGATTATAAATACCAGGAAGCTCCCAAGGCTCACACTTGTTAAGGTCAACTTCAGCTATAGCTCGACCTGTAAAGCTACCATCAAGTACTTTCTTCAACAGATAGTAGGTAATGAGCTCTTCATCAGTCGGATGGAAACGAAAACCAGGAGGCAAGTGAGCATTACTAGAGTCCAAATGAGGGTAACCGTCCATATTCAAACCCCAAATGTCCAAGAGCTTGAAACCAGAACCCTAATCTTCAAAACACAGAGCTGGACATCATGGAAGGAAAGAGAGGAGATAAGTGGAATAAAAAGGAAGGGGGAGAGTGGTTGATATAGGGCGAGAAGGGATTTGATGAATCGAGTGGCAGAGGAAAAATTGGAACAAATAATAAGAAGATTAAGGGGATAATCTGGAGCAGGAAAATTCAGCCTGTGTTGCTTTTTCTCTGCACCGTTCTGCTTGGAAATCTTTCTCTTTTCTAGCTCTAGAGAGTGAGAGAGCGCGAGATGATGTATGGGGGATTAGAGTATGCGTGCGTGCGTGAGAAAATGTGCAGGTATTCTCTGTCATGTCAGCGTAAGAAAATATGAAACGGGAAAGTAAATTTTCTTTTCATTTTCTTGAGAGACAAACAAGAAAAATTAGAGGATGGAGATTCATATATTTTATATTTTGTTTGAGGACGTAACAATAACATTATCTATAATCTGAAAATGTAATGAATGAATCGATAAAGCTGTTTCATATCTCTGGATGTCAGAAGACACAGAGATTAAAATTATCCACTCATATATATACACCCATACATATACCTCATAATTCTTTTATCGTCACTTATTTTTTAAAATAAAAGATTTTTTTTATTAATTTACAGAAATAATAAATGTTTTAAATATTTTTAATTATTTAATATTAACATTTTAATTATCTTATTATAATATTAGTATTACAACTTCTTTAACTATCAAAATAAAGGTTTTAACTATCAAAATTTTTATACCTCCACTCTCATTTAAATGTATACTTAAAAATAATTTTAAAAGAAATCGACATTATCATTTCAATTATAACAAATCCAATTAAATAAAAATATGATAATATTTTACAATAAAAATATTAAATTACGTTAAAATAAAACAAAAGAGTCAAATTATAACGTACAATATATCAGACAATGTCCGGCGAAATATTATTATTGCTTTAACCTAAAAATAAATAAATCAGTAAAATATTAATGTTTCAAGGTACTGTAACAGTGGTGAGAGACTGCAAGTCAGTTTTAGATTATGATTTTTCTTTCATGCTTTTTGATTGATACATTTAACTGTTCATTCTATTGTTTGAAAATATCTGAACTCTTATTATTCTAAACAAAAAAAAAATCACAAGTTAGAAATAAAATAGGCTTAAAGGACAAAAAGGTGCCCAAATGTATATATTTTTTAGTTTAGTATCTAATTTTTTTATTTTAGTTTGGTGTTTAATGTTTTATACTGTAACTTAATTTGAGTCAGCTCGTGACGTGCGGTTAATTTCAGCCGTAAAATGCCATCTGACACTGTTATAATATTAAAAGTAAATTTTTAATTAAAATAATAACTAATTAATTAATTGAAATTAAATATTTTAAAAAAATAAAAACTTTTTTACCTTTAACCTTAAGTAATTTTCTCTCTCTTCCCCTTCCCTCTCTAACCTGTCACTCTCTTCCTTTTGAATTTTTTAAGTAACCCTAATAATTCTCATTTATCATTGCAATTAAGGAATGCGAAATTTGTTAATACCCTACCGATTCCTTTTTGGTTTTCTATCAAACTCATTGGCTCATATTGAAGGAAGAAGAACCGTCAAAGAAATGAAAGAGTTTGTGAAGGTAAAATTCACTGGTAAGCCTGAAAATGAAGTCTGTGTCTGATTTTGATTTTAATGTTAAGCAAATGACTTTACAACCCTAATCGAATCCTTTATGGTTTTCTATAAAAACCCATTGGCAGTGTGATTTTTGAATGATACGTAAAGTTGAATGCGGTTAATTATGTTCCCTTTTATCAACAAAGGTTTTATTTTAATGGTAAGTAAATGTTATTTGATTTTAATGGTAACCAAATGATGTTGATTCCTTGTAGTTTAATACTAAGTAAAATATTTTGATTTTGACGGTGATACTTTTGAAGGATAAATAAAGTTGAAGGACTTTTGGTGTTGTTGATTCTGAATTTGATCAACAAAGGTAACTCTTTTTTGTCTCATTCTATATATTCTTTTTTTAAATAGAAAAATATTTTATTAAAATATATATAAATAATATTTAAATAAGCAGTTATTGCGCTTTGTTTAAAGAATATTAATGAATTTAAATTTGATCATAATATGTTTATTAACTTTTAAAATATTGTAGTTTATTTTCTTAATGACATATATAATGCAAGTTGGTTATTTGGTTTGTGACATATATGATGAATATTGGTTATTTGACTTGTGGTTATTTGATTTTTTTTGTTAAATTTTAGTTTGACCCTAACATGTTAGAATTCTGTTAAGTTAAATTATTTTGTCTATTAACTGCTAGTTGTATTGATATTTTTAGGTTATTCAAATTAAGAATATGACATTCCAGGGTAGTGAAAATGTTGGTAGTGGACATATTGGGTTAGCTAGCATTTATGGGTTGGGAGATAAGAGAGTAATGAAAGGAGTTATGATACCTAAGAAGAGAGTAAAGAGGTAGGTGGATATTGTCCCTTATCTGATGATGATGATGATGAGATAACTTCCATCAGAAAGAACTTAAAGTTAGTGATAAGGAAGATAAAAAAACATCACTGTCACTAGATCAGACTTAGAATATACTGTTAATTTAGGTGCTGGTGAGGGTAATTAAGATTCTGGAAATGCAGATCTGGGTGCAATAGATCATGAGGAAGAAGGTATTTGTTTGGGCTCACCATAAGTAAATGATGAATATTTATCAAGTTAAAATAGAAGAAATAATTTGGGCTCAACGTAAGGAAATGAGACAGCTTTAGGGAGTAATTGTTCAACAAAATTAAGAGGTGAAAACAATGGGGAGGATACTGTTTGCCTATATTATTTAGATGTTGGGAATTATGACACTGATTCATATGGGGATTTTGTATCTAATAAGACTGGTAAACTATTTTTTTATTTTTCAAATGTTGAACCTCAATTTGAATTAGGCATTATTTTTTAAAATCAAAAACAATTAAAGGATTTTTATCTGCTTATGCAATAGCTCATAGGTTTGATTTCAAGTATTTAACAAATAAAAAATAAAAAAAAAATTAAGGTTGTGTGTGTAAGAGTAAATGGTGTCTATTTATGATATATGCCTCTTGAGTGATGGTTTTTCCACATTTAAAACTCTAGTAACAGAGCACCAGTGTTCCGTGACATTTAAGAATCAAAGAGTTAATTATAAGTGGATAGAAAAATATTTTATTGGGAAGCTTAGGATTCTTCCTAATTTAAAATTGAGTGATATGATGAGGCTTGGTAGAAAAGAGTTACATGTGAATTTGAACAAATAATGTTGCATGAGAGCTAGGAGGTGGCCAATGCAACAAATTAGGGGTAGTGTTGAACATAAATACAGTAGATTGTATGATCATGTCAATGCATTGAGAACTGTTGATCCAGAGGATAGTTTTGATTTAGTGGTTGTTAAACTCATTCTTGCTGAGAATTCCAAATTTAGGAGGCTATGTGGTTTTTTAGTGATTTGAAGTACTGTTTTAAGAAGTATTGTTGGGATGTTCTAGGATTAGATGAATGTTATTTGAAAGGTGATTTTCAAGGTGAACTTTTTTCTGCTATGGGAAGAGACAACAATAATCAGATACTTCATATTGATTGGGTTGTGATTGAGGTAGAAAATAGAGAGACTTGGGCATGGTTTCTAAAAACCTTCAGACTGATTTGAATCTAGGAGATGGTGAGAATGTGACATTGCTTAATGACATGAAGAAGGTAAAGTTTATCTTTTAATTTTAATTGTTTTCCAATTTGGTGCCCAATATTTGTCTCAATTCCAGTTTGGTGCTTAACATTTGTGTTGGGTTTATTTTAGTGCTTAACTTTTAATTATTTTTTCAATTTGGTGTCCAATCTTTAATACTTGTTTCCATATTAGGTGTTCAGCTTTTATAATATTTATACTTATTACTTCTACTTGTGGAGCACATATTTTGTGCTAGGCATATTTATGCCAACCGGAAAAAAAGTAACAAAGGAGGTGTTCTCCAGTTGCTGTTTTGGGCTTGTTGCAAAACTACAAAGAAGTCATTTTTTAACACAATGTTTACATGATTGGTAAGCTCAAAAAAGTTTCATATGATGATCTGATGGTTAGGCATCCTAGGTATCGGTTTAAAACATTTTTTAGTACTATATAAAAGTGTAATGATGTAGACAATAATTTTTAGAGTCTTTTAATTTTGCCATATTAGGGGCTAGATTAAGTTAATATTTATATGTTAGAGGATATTAGGCACTATGTGATGCACAGAGTTGTTGATTATAAGAATAAATTACTTAGGTGGAATGGTGACTTATGTCCTAAGATTGCAAGAAAATTAGAAGAACATAAGAAATTGAGTTATGGTTGCCATGTCATCTGGAATGGGGTTGCAAGATATGAAGTTTTACAAAAAGATGACACATTTGTAGTTGACTCTAAGGGCTGAAAATATACTTGTAGAGTGTGGGATTTCATGGGAATATCATACCCTCATGTTGTGTGTGTAATATCGTATAGGGAGTAACAGTTGGAATCATTTGTATTTAGTCTGTATAAAATTAAGATTTATCAAGCATTGTACAAATGTTGTTATTTATAGTTTTCCAAGTGAAAAATATTGGAAAGACACAAATGCCCAAGATTAATCCACCTTTTAAAAGAAAATTGAAAGACCAAAGCATAAAAGGAAAAGAGAAAAATGTGAGATGAAAAGCAAAAACACCATCAATAGTAGTGGAAATAAGATGAGAAATGTTGGAATGAAAATGAATTGTAGAGTTTGTCAACAGACTGTATACAATTTAAGAACTTGTCCATAAAAAACCTAATAAAATGTAAGTTTAATTTGGTTTTTCACTCTTTTGCTTTAATTTAATAATTTGAATATATATATTCTAATTAATGATTTTTAAGGCAAACCAAGTCCCATAAACAACAACTTCAATAGGGACTGCTTCAACACCACCTCTTTGTACACCACAACCACTACAACTTATTCTTTCACACCAGAACCCTCTATACCCCTACTTTTATAGTAGCAGCTTCAACACCCCCTACTTCAGCACCATAAGCACCACCACTGTCAACAATAAATGTTTCATAAATGAGGTTTATGCCTACTCAAACTGTTCAATCACCTATAACCTCTACACCTAGAAAGAAGAATGTGACAACAAATAGAAAATCCCTTCCCCCTAGACATCATGTTAAACCACATGGGCCAAGAGCAGAACAATCATGCAAAGGTTTAACAAGTACACAAATGAAGCAACATGACTATAAATTTTAAATGTAAGTAATTCTAATTCTAAACAACTTTAATTCTAAATAGCTTCTCATATTTGCTTTCTTTTTAACCTAGAAATACCAAGTCAAGTGCTCACTTCTCGACCTAACACAAGTTCACCTATTGCAGTCAAGATGCAAAGTTCAAGTGTTACACAACCACTACCAGCTTCAGTATCTTCTCAGTCACCTTTAATGGAAACTTCCAACATTGATCCTAAGCATTTAGAGACCTTAGAATAAAATTTATATTTTTTGTGTTTTGTGTTGCATTGTCTTTAGTTACATGAAATTGGTTATTTGACTTTGTTTACTCATGTGAACTATTTGGGCAGTTGACATTTCATTTTATTTAGATATATGTAACTACTTTGTAATCCAACTATTATGGCTAGTTAACTTCAATATATGAAACTTTTTCTTTTGCTCATATTACTTTCCAACTATTTACATACCCATGCTAACATTCAATTATGTATCAATGCAATAGAAACATATGCTAACATTCTATTTCCATACACAAAACATAATATTTCCACATCAACATATTAATACTTTTATTATCTTTTAACATGACAATTGTCATACCAACATTACAACAACTACAATTTCCTTCAACTACACCACTATCTAAATATCAAATTGCACATAACAACTACAATTTCCTTCAACTACACAAACATCCCAATTGTCAACACATTCATCATTCATCTAAATACCAAATTTCACCATGAAGAAGTAAAGAATACTATCTTATAGTAATAAAGCATTTGTCATCCTCTTTGTACATTTTACAATTTATTTAAATTGTTGGTTTTCATTTTTCAAATTCCTATTTTCGATCATTAACATTTCAAATTAAAATTTCAAGTATTCATCAATACATCCATTGTATGGTTCATTATCTACCCTGTAACACCCCCAACCCGTATCCAACCCGGATCCGAGTCCGAAGTATCACATTGACTTTTCAAAAACCTTTACTTGTATAAAATAGTGAGTAATTTAAAATTTATTATTACATATAATTTATTCAAAACCTTTATCGAACTATTTAGAGCTTATACAATATATTATTTTGAATACATGCCAACTAGAACTTTATGTATTAAAATACATATTATTCACCTTTCTTCTGATCTGACATTTGGTAAGGAGAACTGACATGTCTTGCTCCACAATGCTATTTACTCTTCTCACTTCGGTAACCTATGTGTGAAACAATCACACGCTAAGTCGATGACTTAGTGAGACAATAAATATAAAATATAAACTATAGCTTGTAATCATGCATGAACAATTACTACTATCACTCATACCCTTATTCATGTAACAAATCCCTATAACACATATGCAATATATATCATTACATGTAAAAACATATACACACACATATTCATCACTCATCATTTCCATCATTAGCCTTATTTCATTATCAATATTATTATCGTTTATATCACTTAATACATATCCTCTTATACCTAGCATTTTAACCAACATTTGTCTCATTTAATCATACAATCCACATATCATCATATAAATCATATAATACCATTCATAGCACAAAAGCATACAAATCACATGTAATATATTTGTTGTTATATCTTTGTCTAGCCTATGTATATTTTTGAGAACTGTAGATATGTGAGTCTATGGATGTTGTGCACTATGCTGTCACCACAGCTTGTATGGGGTCCCACTAGGGGCTATGAGATTTGTCCCGAATGACCTATGTACTGTATTTGTCTCGAAAGACCACTCCTTAAGAACCATATACATATTCCAGTGGATCAAATCTGTCTCAAAAGACCCTGTAAATGTTCCAAAGGATACATATATGTCCCGAAGGACCACGTAGACCCTCAACTCTTGGCATGCCAACTATACCTCTAGCTCTCTTTACACATAACATGGGCATTAACAATATATCAGTCACATATTCATATAATCACATATTTCACTTTCACCTGTCTCTTATCTCTTGTGACCATATAATCATATCACTTTGTATCATATTTCACATATTCATATCACATAGTTCATATCACTTGCATGTTTTCACATAAACACATATATATCATATCTTATTCTTATATAATCCTGCATATCATCTATGTACATTCACTTAATCTCTTATATTCATATATCATATATGCATTTTATTCATTATATAAACATATATTCATACAAGTCATATCATACCTTCAACAACATATAGTTCATAACAAACACATGTTCATGTTCATGAATTTATGCATAACACTATAGGAAATAGACTTGTCGCAAGTCTTATTTCCATTTTATATCATATACGATCTAATATGCACTCACCTGAGCCTCATTAAGTTCCAATCCATTTTTATAATTTCCTCTCTTGCGATCGAATCGTAACTTGATAATCGTTACGGGACTTGTTCGTGTTCGATATCTATATAATCATACATTGATACATATTAGTATCCAATTGATATACACTAATCTATCATTTCTTAGACCAAAAGAAATATATATTTTTATTTCCCTTGAAGTGTATCGATGCATTCTACAGTGTATCGATGCATCCCTTAATATGTGCATCGATGCACTCCTTATGCATCGATACACTTCCTGTGTATCGATACACTCTGAACAATTTCTGGAAATTTACCCTTGATGCATCGGTGCACCTTGAATGTGCATCGATGCACATAGCCCATAATTCATTTTTAAGCCCGAAAATCTACTCAAATCAACTCAAATGTTTCATCTTTCAACCCCTTTCATGTTCTCAACTCATATGCACATGCTTAAACCAATTTATATCCATATAAATCATCTTTAACTTAAAAATTATATTCCTCATATGTAACTCAAGAATTAAACCAACTTTGCAATATGTTTTAATTCCAATTCTATGGCTTCTAACTTCTTAATTAGACCATTGACAAGTCAAATTTAACTTCCAACTCTAGTTATGAACTCTATTTCAAGATTTCACCCAAGAACCTAAAATCTTTAATCCCTCCTAACTCCATCATACTTTGATTTTAAGATAACTTAAGCTTTCCTTAAGCTTAGTTATCGTCTAATAATCATAAACCAACTTTTATTTCAACAAATAATCAACTAACCACAAAACTCACCTTTGTCATGGTGACTCACGACTGAAGAAGAAGAAGATAACTCTGGAAGTTTATTTTGCCTTCTTTTCTCTTCCACGTGGGCTTCCTTATCTAATAAAGGAAAATAAAAATCTTCCATGTTAAATGACTATTTTACCCTTTACTTCATTCAATAATTACTAAATAACCTTCATCATATTTCCAATAAATCATTAAACTATTCAATTATCCCACTTTAATCACCAATTCCTGAAATTTTACAATTTGGTCACTAATCCGATATTGAGGATGTTATATACCCACAGGAAAAAATTACACCGATTATGCAGCATAAAAAAATAAAATTATTAGGCTAATAAGTCAACAAACACTAAACTTTTTTTTTCTGAATCAAAACTTACCTCTTTTGTTTGACAACACCCATAAAATTTTTCCCTTTATTCTATGGCTTATTAGAAATCCAATTGGGAGCTTTCATTCCACAATAACATTCCATGATCCTTGAACAATAACGAGACCTTGAACTTTCACTTGACATCCTTCACTCCATGCATGCAGATTTCAAGAATTGATTTAGGGTTATCGACTTCAATTTCAAAAAAGGGTAGAAAAGGAATGAGAAAAGAGTGACGGGGAAGAGGGAAAAAATTACTTGGGGTCAAAGGTAAATAAGTTTTTTAATCTTTTTTAATGTTTCAATTTCAATTAATTAGTTATTATTTTAATTAGAAATTTCATTTTTTAATATTATACCCATGCCAGGTGGCATTTAACAGCCGAATTTAACGGTTTGTCACGGTCCGACCTAAATTGAGTTACGAAATAAAACGTTAGATACTAAACTGAAACGAAAAAACATTAAGCACCAAACTAAAAAAACGAACGCATGTTGAGCACCTTTTTTACCTTTAAGCTAATAAGATATAAATACAATATTTCATGTATATAATTTTTAAAAAAAGTTATATGAAAATATATTATAAAAATATATATATAAAAGTATATATATGTAGCACGAGCAGAGTGATCTATGTGGTAAAGAAATAATTATCTTTCCTTAAGATTCGGGTTCAAATACCGAGAACGTCAAGGGTGTAAGCGTTCAATATTAAAAATTTAAGAGATATCTTAAAATAAATAATATCTTATATTTATCTCAAATTAATAAAAATATAAAAGTATATAAAAATGTAAAAATTTCTACAATCTTCATCTTGATTCGCCATATCTACACTGAAAGCACCCGTAATCATAAATTACTGAAAGTAGACAATCCTAAAATAAAATAAAATAACAGGGAATAAACAGAAATTAGGAAAAAGGGTGAGAGTAGTTGGTGAACCAGACTTGTTGAAATTACAGCTAGAAGACACTCTCATATTTGGGCAGGCTCCTTTCTTTTTTTTACTTCAAAATCAATGTTTCACACGTCGGAATATCCGAATCATAATATTTGTAATGATAAAATATAAATCTGATAACTGAGATTTATTCTTTACTATTATACTTACTGTTGCTTTAATTTTTTTACTAAATTCAATATATTACTTTTTTTGGTCAATCAATTATTAGACGTTAAAATAAGTTATTATTTAGATGTAAAACGGCGTTATTTTGATAAATAATTTGTTTTTTAAAATAGTATCATTTTTAACGTTATTAATTATTTAACTGTTGAGCGACTAAAATAGAAAAGGGAATAATGTTCATTAATAAAAAATCAAATGTATTCAGTTAAGTGAGAAAAATTAATAACTTTTAAAGTTCAGTTAACTAAATAAGAGAGATAATAGAGTTTTGTGATTAAATTCGTGATTTACCCTAATAATATTAAGATACTATTATTGAATGGTTAATTTGATTTATGTAATGTTAAAACAGAATTGTGTTGGGAAATCCTGAGGAAATAACGGTAATAAGCTTGGTTTTTGAACTGCTTAAGTTTTTAATTGAGGAATTTCAACGCGTGAAATGATTAGATTAGCATGCATGCATCAATTCAAGCAATCCCATCCATCCATCACCAGCTCATGCTCGGATTTTTAGAAGCCAAACAGGCTTTACATCAAATCATCTCTTCAACCTGCAATTTCAGCATGCTTAAGTCTTCCTCCTCCTTCTTCTTCTTCTTCTACTTTCCCCAGCCGGTCATTGGCAAAAACAAAACAAAAAACAAAGCTCGATAATCGACAAATTAGAAAGTGGGGTGGCGCGTGACGACAAAGTAAAGTAAGCCGCGCCGCCCTCCACCTCTTGCGCCTTGTAGTGCGGGTCAGGCCTCTACCCCTTCCGTATTGGCCCACCGCAATTCTCTTTCGCTAAAATGCGCCGCCTCTGTGCACTTCGCCTATAGGCCGATTGCGTATACTTTATTCAAATTTTGTCGCAGCGCGGCAGTACCAATAATGGGACCCCGTACATCTTTGATCCTTTGACACGTCAACATCCACGGTAGGATCAGGTTACGTGGCAAGATCTTACGATCTGGATTTTGTTTTTGTAGCTTCAACAACTCAATCCTGTAATGCAGTTTTTTGTAAACGGTTCAATTATTTTGATACGAGAATCAATAAGATTCTATTTTTCCCCCCAACAAAATATTAACATGTGGGACGTTTGGGCAAAATTTTCTAAATTTTGTTATGAGTTTGATTTTTTATTTTTTTTGAAACAATTATATTTTTTAAATTATTTAATTGAATAGGATAAATATTATGGTGAAAATCAAAGTCGCATTGCACTCCGTACGTCTCTTGAAAATTCGGTACGCATAATAATCTTTACATCCCTCCAATTTAAGTTTGAAAATCGTGTGATGTTCCATGCGTTTCTCATAATTACTATAGTAAATATTCTATTTAAATAAATAATTATAGAACCGTATTATTTTATAATTTTTTTCATTCACATTATTAATAAAATTTAACTATCATATGTGATTGATAATTGTTGTGCTGTGTAGACATTGATTGATATTCCCAAAATAATTCAATTCCAATATTGTGTATGAAATTTGATTAAATAAAGTTCCATTCTTGTTTACCTTTCGGAGTCGTAATATAAAGGATCATTCAATCATCTTTACTCATGTCCCTTCCTTTCTATACCTTTAGAGGGTGTTTGGTTCAAGGATTGTGGGATTCCCATAAGATGGGAAATCCCACATTCTCATATTTGGTTGGTCGGGAATCTCATTCCCGGTAATATTTTATTACCAATAGTATATTTTTTAGGGTATATTACCGGGAATGTCATTACCTCTATTCCCTTAGGTATTGTAACATTACCGACGTTTTAGACTAAAATACTCTTAAATTTTTATTTTTTGTCAAAAATATCATTCTTCTGTCATTGAATAATAAAAATTCTACGAAGGTTAAATTACAAATTTATCCTTAAATTATTTTAGATTTACAAAAAAAAGTGTATAATTAAAATTTTATATGAAGTTCAGGAGTTAAATTTTTTTTACCCTTTCATTAAACATTTTTTATATTTTTAATTTTTGTAAAAAAATATATATAAATATTATGAATTTAATTTTTTAAAGAAAATATATAAATATTTTACAATTTGTAATATTATACAAATATATAATAAGGACAATTTGATCAAATATACATTCCAATAATCTTTTATTCCTTTAACCAAACACGATAATCTTACATTTATACTAAACCAACCAAACACAAAATACATCATTCCCAATAATCCTATTCCCTGGTAATCTTTTATTCCCACTGGTAATCTTACATTCCGTGAACCAAACGCACCCTTAGTCATTACCCGATCACCGATGCTGAGATTTATGAACAATTATGTGTGTTTGATAGTTGAAAACTATTTTTTTTTTCGTGTTTGATAGTTGTAATTATTTTTTCTTAATGTAATTCATTTTTTTTAGTAACTTTGTATTTTTTTGTAAAATATTTTATCATCTTATTTTTCATAAGATATTTTCTTAATGTTTTGCTTCAAAGTATAAACACTCAAAATAATATTATTTTATCTATTTAATGTTAATATTGTATTTTATTATTATTTTAATGAAAATATTAATTATTTAATATATATATACATATATTTAATATGATTTTAATAATATTATAATTTAAAATTTCATTAAATTAAAAATATAATGTCATATATTGTAATAATATAACTGAATTATATTAATATAATATTAAAAAATAATATTATTAAAATAATATTAAGAAATTTTAAATTAGCTGATCATATTCCCATATGTAATGGGATAAAGGGGAGGTAGGATAGTAGACTGCCCCTAACGTCAGGTTGAGAGCAACTTCCGTGGGAGACCTCCGTCAATCATAATTATGAATTGCCCACCGTTGGACTCGATCCCATGACCACAAGATGAAGAGCCTTGCGCTCTTATCAACTGAGCTGGACGGACAATTCTAAAATTATATTAAGACGTCTTAATATATACTTAGTAATTGTGGAAGGTGGGCCTGAAAGTACATGAACTTGGGCTAAAAATTAAAGCCCTGCAAGAAGGGAAAATATTAAACGCAGCGTTTTGCTAATTGTATTATCTTCTGTTTCTGTGTTTTTTGGGTGCTTGATTAACCTAATTTGACGTGTTAAAAGACGTGGGGAAACGTGGGGCTCAAATGAGTTTAATTTGTCTCCAATACCCATAATTAATAACCATTGCACTTGTAATGTAAGAAGAAAGTATTGAATATTTGAAAAAAAAAAAAGGAATTGAACTCTGCTCTAGTGAAGCCTATGGAATGCTATAGATGATTAAAATTATGAGTATTATTCTCTCAAGTATCATCTTTTGATTGAGTAATAAGGATGATTGATGTGGGTACAAAGGGAAACAACAGTAATCAAAAGAAATAAGACTGAACAAACGAGTTGGAAAGAAGATGGAACTCAAGAAAAACTCAGGGTTAAGGCAAAACTCCAGTTTCGTTGTAGTATTGTAAGGGTTTCCGTGGTTTGGGACCAAGTGCTTTGTTTGACTTTTAGCTATCAGACTGGTTTGTTTGTTTTAATGTCAGTTGTTTCTAAAGATTCTAGGTAATCAGAATTCAAGTATTTTTTTAAGTATGACATTGGCAATTCATTTTGTAGGTGAAGCAGCTAGAAAATGCTGTTGTTGAGCTGGTAGAAACTCATGAAAACTGTCTACATCGTTCATCAGCTATTCAGTCTGTTGGAGAAGGATACCGACCAGGGCCTGAGGTGCATGGTTAATAATATTTTTAATCACAACTTTTTTGGTTTAGTACTGTTATATATATATATATATATATATCTGCAATTCTGAATTAATGTCATCCGTTGCTTTGAATGTTTTAAATTACAGTTAACTGATTTTAAGAAGTTGCTTGACACGGAGTTTGAAAGGGTCAAATCTAGTTCATCATCATGTCCGCAGAATCATCCACTGATGCATCAGTTTCATCAAGCTGTCTGGGTATTTTTTTGAAGTCATCAAGCCCCTTCTAAAAGTATTTAGTGTCAAGCAAAATAGAGGTAACTAGAGTAGAATATAGACCATTTCGTGAAGGAGGTGCTAACACCATGTCAAGAACCACTGATCTAAAGCTGGTGTTAGTAGATGTGATTTTGATAATATGTTATATTCTTTAATGGAAGCAGCAGTTAATGGACAATGTGGATGTGGTTTGCAATTGATGAGAACTCTGTTGGTCACTAAATTCATGAAACCACACTGCTCACAGCTGATATACTTGTGAATTGATAAAAATATACTTATTTTGTCTCTCTCATGACTCATATGCTGAAGTTACTGAAACCTGGATGCCAATAGATTTTATGTGCCGCTCTATATATCAATGACTATCTTAAAGCTTTTTTAGTTTTATTGGTAATATGATATTATATGTATGTAATTATTATATATCTTCATTCAATTGGGGCTTCTTACATATCCAGTGTTGTTCAATCTTCCACAGAACGTTCATCATGCTGGACAGACAATGCCAGGTGAAGAGCAGGAGGATATAGTCATGACCGGTACGGGGAGCAATATTAAGAATCTTAAATGTCCGATTACTGGAAAGAATATTACTGATCTAACAGAACCTGTTTGTAGGTATTGTGAAGTTGATTTGAAAACAGATGTTTCCGGTAAAAATCATATTTTCTTTATGTTTTGAGAGATGCATTTTCTCTTTCTCTTAGTGGAAAATTTTATTTATTTTGTTGTCATTCAAACTTTCCAGAAAAGCTATATGCATGGCCCTTGATTGATATTAATCTTAGTTATAAGTTTCAATTGTGAATGTGAATGGTAAGGAAGGATGGTAGTTCCAAAGACTTTCACTGTAAATAGTAGGCTCTGTTGGTTCGGCCTTTTAGGGTTGCCCATATGATTGAATTGTTCAGAAACTTGAGCATGCAACGCGATGCATATTTCTGTCCATTCTTTTGTTTCAACCTATATTGAATTTGTTTATTCCTGTGATGCAGCTTGGACTGCAAGCACATTTACGACAAGAATGCTATCCTGAACTTTATAAAATCCAATCATGGCAATGTCAAATGCCCTGAATCAGGTATACAATACTGCTGATATCAGAGGTCTTGATTCTTCTCTACAGCACTCATTCCTGGCCGTTTCTTCTTCTATCAGCTTGCCCTAAGATGCTGCAGGCAAAAAGAGTCGTCTGCGATCCATTGTTACTCTTTGAGATAGACGAGCTACACACATCGAGTATACAGACTGCTAGGACCGATGTGATAGAAGATTTCACGGAAACCTAACCTCAAGAAGAAGAGAGTCCATGATGGAAGCAGTTGTGCATTTCTCATTTTGCCTAGCTCGATTTTGAATCACCGTGGCCTTTCGCCCTTTCTTAGCTGATTAGAGTCCCTGGTTTATGTAGCCTTAATGCATATAATTAGAAGTGTAAGCATGCAACTATGGAAACAAGTGAGAAACATACATGAAGGAATTTTTGTATATTGGGCGTGGTTTAAGGTGTTGATTTGAATCTATATTTGTTTTCCTGGAGTGCTTGAACATCATTTATGGGAAGATTTAACTCTACCTCAAAGTTCAATATGACGACACCTAATATGTTTTTTCAGTTCTAATCAGATATTTAAGTCTACTTAGTCTACTTTAAAGAACTCATTAAACAACTTTAATGATAAAAAAATGTGTTCTTTTTTGAGGTTAAACAACTGTATCGAGATGTGTGTGTAAATTTATTTTCAAAAATTATATATATATATATTATCTTGTAATATCATGTATTTAAAAATCACTTTTTATCAGTGGGTCAATCGAGTAATACAGCACTTACTATAAAATCTTCCTCGTTCAACAGGCCTTAGCCATTTCCTACAATGGCATACCTTACTAGGATTCCTGCCGGTCGAATCTTTGGCTTATGCAACCGTTCAATTTCCTCTCCAATCAAAAACCCATTCTTCAATTCTACTCTATCATATGTTCCTTCACCCAAATTTACCATAGCATCCCAGTTCTCCTCATCTCCTTCACCTTCTTCTTCTTCGTCTGCTGCAACGAATACCCAATTATTTTGCACCAGTACTCGTTGGAGGCCCATGTGTTTGTACTACACTCAAGGCAAGTGTACCCAGGTTTGCCGGCTAGCTTTTGCTACACCCACCTCTTATTACAATTACTAAGAAAAAGCTAGTCTTTATTGATTTTCATGCCTCTGTTTTCACAGTTTATCTGTTGTTCACCACCTGTTTGAGTTAAGCTCAAGTGCTAGATACTATTTTTATGTGGGTGTATTTTGTTAACCATGTGTTTGCCTGTATGGGTTCACATTTTGAGCAAATTTGGCTTTTGATTAACAACTAGATGACTTTAGTTTTCTATACAATGATTATTCTTAGGCAGCACATTGTTTGAGTTGCATTAAGGTTTAAGTTATGGTTGCAATATATATGAAAAAAATAAATAAACATGTATTGTAAGTTCTTATACCTAATTTAGTTGCTTTTTTATTTTCAAGTTCAGATGGATGATCCTTCCCATCTGGAGAAATTTAACCATGATTGTTCGAGAGATCTTCAAGTTAATGCCACTGATGAAATTTTCTATGTGGCTAAAACTTGACTTAATTGCAGAGTCTGGCACGATACGGCTCAGCCATTTACGGACGTCATTCAGCAGTTTGAAGCTTGGCTGAGTCAACATAACCTATGGGAAAAGGACAAGGGTGGCTGCCTTACTCGTTCAGCATTTGTAACCTGGTGAGTCTTGAACTCTTCAAGAGTTTATATTTATTCGTTTTCGTCTGCCGATGAATGTTCGTTTCTTTGATGTTAGTGGAAATTGGGATTTGAAGACAAAGGTCCCTCAGCAATGCCAAGTTTCCGGGATCGAGCTCCCTCCGTATTTTAAGGAATGGATCAATCTAAAGGATGTATAACTAAACTTTTATGGCCGTGAGGTAATTGCGAGCTTTTAATAAACTAAGCCATTCTTTTCATCTTTCTTGCAATTCATGCATCGTCAAGCTTCGAATCGATAATACATGGCCAATACTTGTTTCCTGAAATGATGACTTTTATGTTTGAGCTGAATCTTCTATTCTCAATAAAATCCTGTCTGAAGCCTGTTTCCGCACATTTCTGGATGTAAAGCCATATATTTTTTTCTCATAATCATAAGCATGTTTGTATTTAATTAGGGTAAACTATGCCAGTAATTCCCTTTGTTTTCGGTTTGACAGACTTTGGTCATCGGCTTTTTAATTAAGTGCGCTTGATCCCGTACGTTATCGGTCCGTTCTGTTTAAGGCCCTCGGCCGTTAACCCATTAACAGAAATCTCTTCCTTCTCCTCCTTCTCTTTCTGCTTCTCCCTTACGTTATCGGTCCGCTCCTTGTCCCTTATGTTATTGGTCCGTTTGATTTAAGTCTCTCGGCCCGTCTTCTTCTTCTCCTTGTCCCTTTTGTTGTTGGTCCGTTCCTTATCCCCTATTTTATTGGTCCGTTCCTTGCCCCCTTATGTTATTGGTCCGTTCCTTGTCCCTTAAGTTATCGGTCTGTTCCTTTTCCCTTATGTTATCGGTCTGCTCCTTGTCCCTTATGTTATCGGACTGTCCGGTTTAAGTCCCTTGGCCTGTCTTCTTCTCCTTGTCCCTTACGTTATTGGTCTGCTCCTTGTCCCTTATGTTTTGGGTCCGTTTGGTTTAAGTCCCTTGGCCCTCCTCCTCCTCCATCTTCTTCTTCGTCTCGGTGATGTTTAAGTTGGCCATTGGAACTGTTAGAAGAAGAGGCAAAGATGCATGTTACATGATATGATCCAAAGGATCAGAGACTTAAACCGAAAACAATGGAAGGCCAGAAGTTCTTTTTGGCTTGGACTTTATGGGTCTGCGTATGAACATTTTTTATGATCATTCTTCTTACTATCTCGATGCATGCTCCACAATCACTAGGTTTACAAGAGTTCCATGAGAGCTATTCGACATACTAATAACTCTTCTTTTCCAACAAGAAGCTATTAAGTGACTGAGTGTTCTACTAAATTTTATTTTTATCAGATTGTATAAACTCCTTGGCTTGCCTTCTATCGAACTTAGAACTTAGTTCCTGACCAAAGTTAGCCAAACCGAAAACAAAAGAGACTATCGGCATGGTTTACCCATTTAATTATCATAACCAATCTTGCATTGTTGGTCCTTCCTGTCAATCTATGATTTACTCTGATGCTTTTTTTTTCTCTAAAGTACCCATATCTGATGACATCCAACACGAGTACGAGAGTATGATCCCTCAAATATCTGCATTCAACACTTATTTTGAGTCTCGGTAACATGGATGACAGGCCAGAGGAATGATGTCGATGATGAAGCAGCTCGAAATCCGGTCTTTGGGATGTCACCATCTGGGCATCGACGACTCGAAAAACAGAGCAAGGGTACTGCAACGCATGCTTGCTGATGGCGCGCTTATGCAAATTACTGCAAAGAGGAATCCTGGATCTCAAAAGGTCGAATTTCTCTATGAAAATCGTATCGAACATCCACCAAGGAGGAGATAAGCTTAAGCTAAATCTAAACCTTGCTCTTTGAACATTTGATTCTATGTTTTAATCCAGTTGATGCTGTTGGTTAAATTATTCTTCCCTGGACAAGCTTTGAGTAAGCCATGAGGTGGATTTTGAATCACTTTATTCACATGCAAGTTTCAGACGTGGTAAACAGATCCGAATTTGAAGATGAAGATTAAACAGCATTGATTCAGATTATTCAAGTTGACGCTTTTTTCTTCTACTAATTTGTTGATTTCCTGTTAGATATACAAAAATCACTTGACCGTTCATGTATTCGTGTTATATGCCCGTGTCATGATTGAGCTGAGTCGAGTTTAAATTTTGTTCAAGCATGAGACAATTGATCCTTTGTTGGATAATTATAGGTTCCTTAGGTTATTGGTAAATCTCGAATATGTGAATATAATAAATTGAGGTGAGAGAATCGTCTGTACCAAATTTGAACTAATTTGTCAATAAATTGGAGATAGGAAATGCTATATGGATTAATCTTTAATTTGAAAAATATTTTAATAAAAGCAAAATAAATTAGACATAATAAAAAAATTAAGAAATTATGAAGGAAAACTTCTATATGGCACACTAAAAGACTAAGTAAATTAATTCATACAATACGAATCATCTTGCCTTAGTGGTTAAAGGAAACGTTGTTGTTCCTAGAGGATAGCAGGATGATTGAGCGTTCATTGTCAAATGGTTGAAAGTATTTAGAACATATACTACTTTGTAATCAACTTATCTTAATACAAAAAATAATTAATACAACAAAAATATTATTAATTATTAGTTGGATTGTTAAAAAATTACAACTGAGCCCGAAACAGGCCAAAGCCCAATCCACAATTGAATATGTATATATACACGGACAAATTACCCCCTCGAAGGGGGGAAAAATACACAGAAATTATGTTCGTTAGTTCTTACCTGTTGATTCTTGGAGATTGATGATTTTTGGAGACTTTGTCTGTCATCACCATTCTTTGTTCGAAGTTCAAGTTTTTGTTGCTGCAGGTCAGTCAATTTTCTTTTTTGAATATGTTTTCTCAGTGATAAAGAACTCGTAGTAGTTGATATAATTTAATCCAAGCTTGTCTGATTCTGCTGTCACCTTTGAAATCCTCAAATTTTCTGAGAATAAGATATGGGTTGTTTTTGCTAAATTCAATTATAGTTATGTACCTCAGTTGCTTTGATATGCACAGTTCGCGAGCTCGAATGAAATTCAATAAAAACAATGAATTTCAAGGCAGAATCGTCTATGTTTTTACATTTCATTTGCAAGCATGCTGAAAATATGATATTAGTTTTTAACTATTAATCTGGTTTTGTGAAGTTGTGTTTATGCAATTATGGTTAACCTAACTCGGTTTCCATAATACTTAGGGATTTGCATGATTATCCGATCTTGATTCTGTATTGGCTTCAAAGTTACTTGACTGATTGGGGAAATGGAATTGAAGGGTGAATCTAAAATGGAAGATGCAGTGAGGGTCCAAACTCTTTCGCAAATGGGCATTTCAGAGGTTCCATCACAATACATTCAACCCCTCGAGTATCGGCCTAAACCCGAAACTAACAATATAACTGGTTTTAGCTGCAAAAATGTTCCTGTCATTGATCTATCCTGTGAAAAGGAGTTTGTCCTGGCTGCCATTCGAGCCGCTTGTGGAGAATGGGGAGCTTTTCATGTTATCAACCATGGGGTACCCACCAAACTGATGGATGATTTGAGGAGAGTCTGTCTCTCTTTCTTCAATGATGTGCCGATGGAGGAAAAACTTAAATATGCTTCCCGGCCTAATTCTGTTGCATCGGAGGGATATGGTAGCCGTATGCTAGTGAGCTCTGAAAATGAAACTGTTTTGGATTGGAGGGACTATTTTGATCACCATACGTTGCCTCTTTCACGCCGCAATTCTTCCTCTTGGCCCCATTTTCCTCCCGAATACAGGTACGTTGTTTTATCTTGATTAATGCTCTTAAAGGTGTTATTAACTTGATTTATTTTCATGCAGGGCATTGATGGCTGGTTATAGCGATGAGCTGAAAGCATTGGCTCAGAGACTGTTGGCATTGATGTCCAAGAGTTTAGGACTCGAGGCATCCTGCATGGAAAATATGATTGGAGATTTCTATCAGAACATAACAGCTAGTTATTACCCTCCTTGTCCGCGGCCGGATTTGACGTTGGGCCTGCAATCGCATTCTGATATAGGTGCCATCACACTTCTAATACAGGACGATGTTGGTGGCCTGCAAGTGCTCAAGGATGGAGAGTGGCTCCTTGTCGATCCCCTGCCAAATGCCATCCTCGTTCTTGTGGCCGATCAAACTGAGGTGTTACTCATCTTTTTTTTAATATTCCATCAACGCATCATAAATGAATGTCGAGAACCGTAACCGTTTGATGCATTGGGAACTTGCCTTACCTGCAGATTATAACTAATGGGAAATACAAAACCTGTGTTCACCGAGCCGCAACAAATGCAAACAGAGCCCGTCTCTCGATCGCCACATTTCATGACCCAGCCAAGACGGTCCGAATATCCCCTGCCTCTGATCTCTTGAGTCAAGATTCCCCACCTCGGTATTCTCCAGTTGTTTACGGAGACTACTTGTCATCATGGTACTCAAACGGCCCTGAAGGAAAACGAAATCTCGACACGCTCCTCCTCGACATTTCAAAGTAAACCAGAAATGCTTGTACTCTCTGCAACATAAACCCTGAAATAAGGTCATGCTCTTTCATTTCAACAACTCAAATAGTTAAGCTATTGCATTGCTTTGTTTATGCATTTTAAACAGCTCAAATATGTTGTATCACTCAATATATGACAGCTTCTCTCTTGATTACTCTAAAATTTACCCCTTCATCCCTAATAATAATTTGTTACCATTCATCTTTCCCTGAATTTACCACAAAGACTAAAATTATATCAAGTGTCGAATAATAATACTTTAAATGTTTGATTTTACTCGAATGTACTAATAGATGAGATAGACGGAATGAACAACTATGACAATGATATATGATAAGGACATTACGAAATTGAGTGAGAAGAGTATCACGTCCTAGGGGTGGATGACATTAATTCATCTAGGAAAAGTGAGAAAAGATCCTTAAATTTAAAGGCGGTGACATTTCACGTTTTATTAGACATATCTTTTAGTAATTACATGTGAAGATATATTAAAATGATAACATTAATCAAGAAATATATCCCATCTTAAAACAAGACGAGGCCTTTATTTGATACACAAAAGTTCCACATTTGATTCAAGTTCAGCACCATGAAGAACCATAAATTTCACTGAATTTTCCACATCTTCTTTTACAAATCTCCAGGATCCAAAACTTTGAGGTTATCCTATTTAATCTTCTCTTAAATGCCAGCTACATTTGAACAACACATAATCATTTCACAACCATCATAAAACCAATAGTACTATCGTTTATCATGTTTCTAGTGTTGTCTTGCTAAACACAGCAGCATCCACACATCAAAAGTTCTCGACTTTAAGAATTCCACCTCAACAATTGCTGAAAGAACCAAGTTTTGATCATAACTCCAAACACAAATGGTTGAGAAATTAAAAAAAACCCAGAAAAAGATTAGAGAAGAAAATAAAAAGTGGGGGTAAAACGGCAGTGACATTTACTCAATTTCATAGTAATAAATTACAGTTGCGGTGTCACGGATGTAGTTGTGGTATCGCGGTCACAGACGCTGCAAACGTTGTGTAACGCGTAACGATTATTGTGGGCGTGATTTATTTCTAAAAAATCACACTATTTCTAAAACATTATATTTATACATTTCACATTCATTTTCTAATATTAACTATTGTTTAATGGTTTATTCTTATAGTCAATCTTCAATTATTATATAGAGATGCGTCATAAGTTAAATGTTTGTTAATATTTAACATCATTTTTTTGTTAAGTTAAAATATTTGATTATTTTATCTATATAATTTTATATTTTAGGCAATTTGGATATTCGTTGTTGTATTGTTGCGGTGTAATTTTTTATCCATTGCGATATTATGTAAGGATTTTAAACTATAAAAATCGTGATGTGATTTCGTTTATCGTATTGCGTTAATATTACATCACCTCATATATTTTTTTTAATATTAAAAATAATTTTTGAAAATAAGAAATTAATTAAAATGAAAAATTAAACCTTTTTAGTTTATAAGGGTGGATCCGGCTAATTTCAGGCAGATGGAGCAGCAAGTGACCGGAGTCAGATTCGGCGACGGACAGCTGCCTTGAGTCCAGTCCTTGAGCTGGAGCCTCCGAGACCCGGCAACCAGTTACCGAACGTTGCTGGACCGGGATTTTTACCGACTCTGGATACATCGGCGGTCTTGTTGGATCATCAGCAACCATTTTATGGAGCAGTTGTCGGGTCTAGCTTAGATTGTGAAATTTTCCGGAGCTTTCCCACTCTAGATTCCCGGAAAGTTTAATTTTTGTTTTCTAATTTTTTTTGTATAAATACAATTTATTTATTAAAAACTAAATAATGTCATTCTTATTAATTTCATTTTATTTTCATTTTAATTAATCTCTTATTTTCAAAAAAATATTTATAATTTAACGATCAAATTTAACGGTCTATCACATTTTGATCAATTTTAAGTAACGAAATAAAATATTAATATTAAATTAAAACAAAATAAATATTATACACTAAATTAATAAAAACAAAAATATATTAGATATTTTTGTATATTAAGCCAAATATTTTCCTGATCAAGACGACACGAAAACTGGGTCTCGCCTTTTCAAAGAGGTCGGCAGCAGTCTTTGTTTTGAAAATCGGACCGGATCGGACCGGTCGATTCAATCGGGAACTATTGTTTAGTCCGGTTCAATCTAAATCGGTTGAACCACTATTAATGAACCGGCTAGAACCGCTGAACCGTTTGAACCAGACCGGCTGAAAACCGGAAAAAATTGAGAAAAACTGAGATTTTTGTTTTGTTTTGTTTTTAAAAAATTAAACCAAACAATGTCGTTTGTTAAACGAGCCAAGTCGAACTAGAGTATTGCTGAACTCGACTCGAACTTGAAAACTTTAAAAGTAAACTCAACTCAACTCAATCTCACAAGCTAAAAATTATCAAGTTCAACTCAAACTCGAAATATAATATTGAAACTTGAACTCAAAAAGGCTTAAACTTAAAAAAAATTAGAAGCTCGATTGAAGCCTAAAATTCGAGCTTGATTGAAGTGAAAGAATACTTATATAATTATAGTTATATAATTTTGTTATGATTTTTTTAACCTTAAATTTATTTTTTAATTATAGTTATATAATTATATTTATTATTTAATGTGTTTTACCTTAAATGAGATGACTATCCAGCTCAGTTGGTAGAGCACAAGGTTCTTAACCTTGAGGTCGTGGGATCGAGTCTTACGGAGGGCATTTCATAATTCGGAGGTCTTCTACGGAAGTTGCTCTCAACTTGGTGTTGGAGCAACCTACGATCTTACCTCCCCCTTATCCCATTACATATGGGAACAAGGGACAACCATTTTTACCTTAAATATTATGTTGTAGTTAACTTGAATCATTTTGTTTCACTTGATTTTATGGTTTTTAACTTATATATGTTATGACTTGTGATATAAAAAATTATTTTTTATTAAATATTTTTTGATATTTTTATTTAATTTTTTAAATAATTATGACGTCGTCTGTTATTTCGACCGATCAAACCGATTCGATCGATTAAACTAATAAACTAATAACATGACCGGTTCGCTAACCGATCCGGTTATGAAAAGCATGACAACAGCTTTGAAGACGATTAAACCAACACTTTTCATACTATCACTAATGTGCGGATGCCTTACGATATGGTACCCATTAGTGACGTCATCAAACAGATGGATAGTCTAACACCGCTAATCCGTTGCTGACGTGTTGTCTTTAGCCCGGGCAGCAGAGGTAGCAATTATAGCACGTGCTATTAGGAAAAATGAAAGAATAAATTGTGTCCGTATGTCTTGTATAAAGTTTAAATTTTACTATAATTTAATTAATCCTATTTTGTTTAACTTTTTTGAATTTAAAAATTTTAATTTTATTCCTATAATATACGACAATTCAGCGGAGGATATTAAAGCACATATCAAGTTATTAATACTACATTTTTGTCACACGTAAAACGAGTTTAACATGTAAAACTTCATTATGACTTTAGTCCAATAGCAGCCATAGATTATTGCCAAGGAATCGGGTGAACAAACAATGATAACACTCTGTCCTTCGAGTCACCATCTTCAATAGCATGGCCATCGCCATTTTGGTACATCAACTGCGACACTCTCGCAAGGTCCATAGCGATTTCGATAAACGTCCGAGAGAAGGGAGATTTAGCCATCTGTTCTTCGTTTATCTTTTTCCATGCAGCCTCGATCAGCTTCTTTACGTGCTCACGAGCTTCCTCTTCGGGTGCTTCGTTTTCGTGCATGTAACATTGGATTGATTTCGGAACATCACCTCTTTGTTGCTCGTACTAATGTTAAAAAAGAAAAGAAAACCAATCAGTAAATGGAAATCTCAAGTTTACAAACTATGTATATTGATTACTATGCATGTTGCTAACCGATGATGTCCCGAGATCATCGGCTAATCGAACAATTATCGACGACTGATAAATTATATTGTGGTAGTATTCCTCAATGTGCTGCAATCCCTCCTCTGTTATATGATCAGTTACCAAATAGGCATGGCCTAACATCACGGAACCGATATCGACAACCAAGCGTTGTCGATGTACTCCTGTAAGGTTGGTTTGTATCCGATGTAATACCACTTTGCCTCCAACAAGTATGCTTTACAAAGATTCGTCCACTGAACACATTTAAAGTGTTTAAACTCTTAGCTTCATAGGTAAAAAAGAAATGGAATACAAGTTCAGAGATCGATTCGATACCACTTTCTTGAGGAAGGGGAGGACATCGATTCCTTGTTCCTTAAGAGTGTCGAAAGCCATTTCGTTTACGGAGTTGTAAAGGGCATGGTAGCATATCTTCATATAGGCTGGAAGCTTCTGTATAGCATTTATATCCCATCTGAAAATGGCAACTTTAAACATTAATAACAGAGATCAGCTGCAAAATACATCAGATGGTGGTAGTCTGCATGGTAGAGCTGCAAACCTCTCGATGGCATCGGTGAAGAGCTCCAACTCGTCTAAGGTTCCGTAAACATCATAAACATCGTCTATGACGGTTATTAGCGCGTTCACCTTGGTTTGATCTCGTCGGCTCTTTCCGGACTGAGGACTAATTATCATTCCCACAAAAGTTCTCCATCAGCCTGTCTCTAGCAAAGTCCAGCCATTCGCAAAGACCGAGATTCTTCCACCACCTGATTAGAAGTCGAAAATCAGAATCAAATATGATGTAGATTTCGAACCGGTCTGGCTATTAAGCATATACTTACGCTGAAGCGTGTCTTAGATCGTCCTGGTGAATGGCTTGGACCATGTTGAAATCCAATATGGCAAGTTCTAAAACGATGTGATTTTTGTCCTTGTTCTTCTCGTAGGCACCTATGAACCATCTGGCTTCCAACCTCGGCATCCTCCAATGTAGAGGAAGCTCCAAGGCATGGTCGACGAGCATCGAAAGATATTGATCGTTGTTCTGCTTCCGACATTCTTTTAGAAGCTCCGCTGCCGAATCCCTAGCATTCTCCAGCATTGTTTCGCCTTCTACTAATAGGTATGAACCCTCATAGAGGCTGAG